ATCACTGTCAGTAGACTATACACACATCTATATGTCTGGATATACAATACACTGTCTGTAAACTATACACATATCTATGTCTCCGATCACTGTAAACTATACACACAGATCTATAGGCCTGGGATCACTGTCAGTAAACTATACACAATATCTATATGTCTGATCACTGTCAGTAAACTATACACACATCTATATGTCTGGATCACTGTCAGTAAACTATACTATACATATATCTATATGTCTGGATCACTGTCAGTAAACTATACACACATCTATATGTCTGGATCACTGTCAGTAGACTATACACACATCTATATGTCTGGATCACTGTCAGTAGACTATACACACATCTATATGCCTGGATCACTGTCAGTAGACTATACACATATCTATATGTCTGGATCACTGTCAGTAAACTATACACACATCTATATGTCTGGATCACTGTCAGTAAACTATACACACATCTATATGTCTGGATCACTGTCAGTAAACTATACACACATCTATATGTCTGGATCACTGTCAGTAAACTATACACACATCTATATGTCTGGATCACTGTCAGTAAACTATACACACATCTATATGTCTGGATCACTGTCAGTAAACTATACACAGATCTATATGTCTGGATCACTGTCAGTAAACTATACACACATCTATATGTCTGGATCACTGTCAGTAAACTATACACACATCTATATGTCTGGATCACTGTCAGTAGACTATACACACATCTATATGCCTGGATCACTGTCAGTAGACTATACACATATCTATATGTCTGGATCACTGTCAGTAAACTATACACACATCTATAGGCCTGGATTACTGTCAGTAAACTATACACACATCTATATGTCTGGATAACTAGCAGTAAACTATACACACATCTATATGTCTGGATCACTGTCAGTAAACTATACACACATCTATATGCCTGGATCACTGTCAGTAAACTATACACAGATCTATATGTCTGGATCACTGTCAGTAAACTATACACACATCTATATGTCTGGATCACTGTCAGTAGACTATACACACATCTATATGCCTGGATCACTGTCAGTAGACTATACACACATCACATCACTATCTATATGTCTGGATCACTGTCAGTAAACTATACACACATCTATATGTCCTGGATCACTGTCAGTAAACTATACACACATCTATATGTCTGGATAACTAGTCAGTAAACTATACACACATCTATATGTCTGGATCACTGTCAGTAAACTATACACACATCTATATGTCTGGATCACTGTCAGTAGACTATACACACATCTATATGTCTTGATCTCTCTGTCATGTTTGGATCACTCTCTGTAGACTATTCATACACCTATGTTTTATACCATAAATCATTATACATTTTGTTATATTCCTGTATGTTTGTGTCAGAACAACATACAAACATGAATATTCCAGAATATTCAGGAGTCAAAACATGTAAACATAAATATAATACTGTGTCGGGACAATGTACGTGCATTTCCTTTCTTGTAAGACTGTCCCAGGACAGTAAGTTGTGTTTCTGTTACAATGTCCCAGGTCAGTATACAACCATCCATATTTCGTTAACACGTTTATAGATTTATATACCGGGGCACTACCAATAGTTCATACAGACATTTATGCAGACATACATTTATGAAGGCAGACATATATGCAGACAGAAAGACGTATATGCAGACAGACAGGCATTTATGCAGACAGACAGACAGACATTTATGCAGACAGACAGACATATATGCAGACAGACATACATTAATGCAGATAGACAGACACATATGCAGACAGACAGACATTTATGCATACAGACATATATGCAGACAGACAGACATATATGCAGACATACAGTCATTTATGCAGACAGACAGACATATATGCAGACACACAGACATTTATGCAGACAGACATATATGTATACGGACAGACATATATGCAGACAGACAGACATTTATGCAGACAGACAGACGTTTATGCAGACAGACATACATTTATGCATACAGACATATATGCAGACAGACAGACACATATGCAGACAGACAGACATTTATGCAGACAGACATATATGCAGACAGACAGGCACATATGCAGACAGACAGACATTTATGCTGACAGAAATATCTGCAGACAGACATTTATGCAGACAGAGATCTATGCAGACAGACATTTATGCAGACAGACAGACATCTATGCAGACAGACATACATCAATGCAGACAGACAGATATTTATGAAGACAGACATTTATGTTGACAGACAGACATATATGCAGACATACAGACGTATATGCAGACAAACATTTATGCAGAGAAACGGACATTTATGCAGACAGACATATATGCAGACAGACAGACATTTATGCAGACAGATATATATGCAGACAGACATTATGCAGACAAACAGACACATATGCAGACAGACAGACATTTATGCAGACAGACATATATGCAGGCAGACAGACACATATGCAGACAGACATATATGCAGACAGACAGACATATATGCAGACAGAGAGACAGAGTCCGTGTAAAACCATAGCTAGAATGTTTTATACAGGCTGTCGAGATTTGTACACTCATCAGTCTTCGACATCATCGCTAATTGGGAAAACCAATATCTAACGGTTTTTTCTTTTCATCGTATTCACTTCAAAGTTACTCGACAAAATGTTTGTATAACTTCATTTACGACTAATGTCATCAGTAGTGAATTTCAAGGCTAATCGGGTCAATTTTCCACTTCAGTTAATGCCAGAAGCGCCGTTGCTATGGTCACACGAAACCCTTGTTCCGTCTGTTTTACGACAAAACGGTCTTGTGGCGATACCGACATTAGGAACGATTCTGAAGACAAATTAGGACGAAGACTTTGTGTCTCTGTGGTTGAAAGGCTTTCTTAAGTCAAGACACGGGGTGGATTTAGGTCGGATACGAAAAATAAAACAGGAACACGCGAAAAACGTAAATTAAAGGTAGACAACCCATGTTGGTGCTAACAACCATCCACGTACAGACCGTGAAGTGCTAATGCACTCTATCTGCCAAGTGTTAAGATACCGCTGTAATCGTGGGGGCCTTTTGTAGTATTAATTATTTAGATTTTATAACAATTTGTGCGCACATATGTGTAATATTATTTCTATAGTGACATATTACTTTTCGTATTCCATGAAATATGAACGCACTTACCACCGCCCGGAAAAAGCATGATGCCATAATTTCACTTAGAGATGATAATAGCTGTGATCAAGGCGAAAAAAAGTATTGAGGTATGTGGTTGATTCCGAATTTTAACATGCGGCGTATCTGGTTATAATTACTGATGCTGAGAATGCTACCCCCCATCGCCTGACGCAGCCATTATACGTACGGTATCTGCTTGTGTCCACTCCGAAACAACACCTACACGGGTTAACCCTTTGCATGACGATGCGCAAGGGGACATTCACGTGACTTGTGTTTTCCTCCACGTTGGGACGTTGACTTTGTCAATGCAATGTAATTTCTAATGACAAATGGTCTGAAAAGGGTGCTAGGAAAATTTAGGAATAGTAGAACCTAGCACAACCCGAGGATAAGCCTTGAGCCTTTGACTGTGGGCCCAACCACACCGGTGTTGCCAACTGTATGTCAACACTGCAATCATCTTGTTCTTCTATGAATATATCTCCTTTTGCGAACCAGGGTTATTTGGTTGTGTCAGTTACATATTTAACCAAACTATTGACCACGGAGAGATTAGTTTTGATATATTCCCCAATATATTCACCACCGAGAGTTCAGTCTATTCATCAACCAAAGATCGAGAGCGCTGTGGTTCGGAGATTTCGACAGAACGTATTTCCATCTCTAATGGTTTATAAATTGCACATTTGATCCTGTTAACCCGTGCAAGGTGTGACGATTTTCTCCCTTCCTCAACACACCTGGTTCCTGTCTACAGGCCACACGTCATCTAAATCATTTCTCAAACGACAGATATGCGAGGGGCGGGGGAGGCAGCTCAGTTAACGAGAAAAACGGCAACGTTGATTAAATTTCTCGAAGAATTACTGCGATGTAAGCGGCATTATTATTCCTAAGTTACGATCAGAACGGAGTGCGTAGGTGCTTCAGAAGTTGATTGAAGTCCTCATTGGCATGCCCCGTGTCATTCTCCCGTGTTCCTGATCCTTAGTGGAACTACAAGAGTCGTAATACATAACTATATATCGGATGTGAAGCAATACACGTGTTGTTTATCACCATGGGGCAGATGTCAAGTAAAGCAGGCTTGTGGAATGACCCTGTAAAACTGGGTTTCGTCTATATAGGACCAGGCACGTTGATGATATGTTTGAAACACAGGTTTGCCTGGTCCAGGGTCGATTATGTGTGAGTGAGTTGAGATAAACGCCTCTTTGGAAGTATTCCAGTTATTGTATAAGCTTAGTGTGGGTGAAAAGTCTTAAGTGATGCATGTCTCACGATGTCTCACGATCACAGGTTCCCATCTTGTCAAGGGGCGCAACTCTGCAGAGCGAATTGCTGCGCCTCACAAGACGAGGCCATCATGGTCTCGTGGCCCTACAGACAACTGAAACATTGCTGTCTTCCTCGTAAAGCAACATCTGAAAAAGAATTCGCCTATATGTACTCATCGATAGGCAGTGAGTTCGGGCCACTGTAAATATATATAAAATATGTTAAAAACAAATGAGATAGATATTAAGTACACATGTCAGAGGCGTACACTAACTGCGTGGACTATAAGTGATAAAACCTCCATTTTGTGGAAGCCGCGATGGCTGAGCGGGTGAGGTCGATGACTTTGTGCGATAATTAAGGTGCTCACTCTGAGAGTGTGTGTTCGATGAGACTCATTCCCAAGATGTACTAGAATCTGTAATCTACCGAGAAAATGTAATCGTAAATATGTTTCCTGTTGTAAAAACGTGAGACTGCTGCCCAGTAAGGGATGGTCTGTTCTGTGTTATAGGTTCGCGGATTCGCCGACCACTACTTGCTTCGTCACAACAACGTCCCTCACCGATCCCGGCGAAGCGCAGACCACCACACCAAGAGGCTGACAGGGGACCACAGGGTAGGCGTATATTGTCCCCAGAAACTACTGAACATTCATAATCATGTGACAGTGAAGAACGCACCTAAATCTTCCCTGGATGGTATAAGCAAATTTATATATTTTCGTGTGTGTTTTCATATTTTATATTTGTTCAGTCCTTAAATGACTAGAAAGAAACCTGAGTCGTCGAGTCAGGTATTGACAACAAATATTGAGAAGTACAATATAATATTTATAAAAGTTTGGTTATATCTGACGGAAATGTTTGTCTTTGTTAGTTAAGATGGATGTCTCAGTTGGACATAAGGGCCAGCACCATTACAGCTGAACCTGCCAAACCTTATATTCTCAAACAGGCCATCATGATAACAGAGACGGCAGTAATATTCTACTGTTAGTTAAGTGGCTGAGGCTTTTAGACACATCTTAATGTTTCATGCAAAATGTTTCTTTTTCTCCGTGTCCAAACACTACATGTGCCTGTAAGTTATACATTTAGCGTAATATGAAAACCTCTGCCTAGGTACTAGTAACCAAGCCCTTTTTCATAACCTTCTAGGAGATTTGGAGTTCTATACAACTTTAGTTTGCTGGCGTCATTGTTGTGACGAAAACGAATAAGATGCACGATTTAAACTACTTCGTAACATTTCCCTAATGGTGTTTTTGTCTCATGCACAGTTAAAAAAAATCATATCTGTTAAAAATACTTTTAGTCAGTTAATGTATTTCAGACATGAAAACTTTTGTTATTGATCAGTTACTTTAAAATCATGAAGATTATTTGTGATTATCCATTAAATGTTCTTTTATACATATTCAAACAAACGGACAGAAGTTTTTGAGGATAACTCTAACTCTTTTCTTGTTTGAGCCTCCAAAATGAAAGTGAAAATTGAGGTAATTATAGAAGGATTACATCATAATACCAGTACTATCTCTCCCTAGTTGGTACCAGGACCACGCAGGTGGAACAGTAACCATAATGTACCTCCTGTAGCTGTATTCCCAGAGGGCTTATTCCAGCAATCAGAAACGATTACAATGCACTTGCAATATCTGATCACAAGGTCCATCACTAGGACAGTAGGATTGCCGTGGGACAATTAATCTGTGTTCGTGTCGCTGGTAGGGGTGGGGATGTGTGTGGGGTGGTTATGTAAAGATTGTGGCCGGCGGATTGGAAAAAATGGGATTCATTGTTTACAATACAATGATTGCCACTGACGTATATGGGCAGTATCGATACTGTATTGAGTTTCCATATGTAATTTTGTAGGGATAAAATGGCGGACACATGACAGAAATGAAGAAATGCATGTGGCAATATTAGGTGGCTATAGGGTACGAGAATCCAATGTAGTCTAGTTTAAAGTTCGCCATCATGATGGGAAATGTAAATTGAAAATTGTGTTTGTAACAACGCATCGTGCTTTTTGTATATACACTTAGATAAACTTTAGATACTTTTAGAGTAGGGTTGCTGGTCAAGTGAAACTACAAACACGTGTATTTCAGGTGGATTTCTGGAACATATAGTATGACCAGAAATTATTGAGAAGTTTAGGAATATGTTTAATTGTATTTCTAGTATAAACAACCTTGACCAGCTATCAAGTGTTTGGTTTCATTCAAGAGAGACAACTCCGTTAATCCTTTTTCATTGGTTTGTGAAGAGTTATCCCCCTTTGTTTACTTGCTAGCAGACGACATTTTCAGTGATCCTCAGTATGGATGATTTAGAGAAGAGGAAGTTGATTTTAGAGTATTATAACAAGGGCATCAGATCAGCTTAAGTGATTTCAACTAGAACAGGCATCCCTTTGTCCACTGTTTATCGTGTTTTGAAAAATATTGCAAATGGATATGGCATTGAGCACCAGGGAGTCGCAGGTAGGCCCAGAAAATTGACTGTCGGTGACAGGAGGCGGCTTGGTATTCTTGTTTCTAAAAACAAACGAAAGAGTTTAGAAAACTTAAGGCTGGATATGATTGATAGAGGAACTGTGGCTGTCTGTAAGGAGACAATTTGAACTGAGCTGCATGGAATGGGTTGGCAGAAAAGTCGAGGAATTCCATCACCGATCATGAAACCTGAACAAAAGGAGCGAAGGTTGAACTGGTGCTTACAGCATATTAATTTTAACTGGGACAATGTGATTTTCTCAGATGAAAGTTCTGTGTGGCTGTTTCCTAATACACTGAAATTCTTGACCAAACAAACTGAAAAACCTTTGTACAGTCCGAAATTTAACGTGTGGGGTGGCATATCTGTGTTAGGGGCAACGTCCCTCTGTGTATTTGAAGGGAATATGAACAGTGAGCGGTACACAGATATTCTCGAGGGACATTTACTTCCATCTGCTCAGGTGTTCTATGGAACTTTTTGGCTTTTCCAGCAGGACAACGACCCAAAACATCGTTCAAAGCATTCACAGGCCTGGTTTCGGACCCAGAATATGACATTATTAGATTGGCCAAGCTATAGCCCTGACCTAAATCTAATAGAAAATGTTTGGGGACTTATGAAGGAAAGTGTCAATAAGAAAAATCGGACAAATATTGCTGAAATGAAAGAAGAGGTGGTCCGACATTGGGACAGCATGGACCACGACTTTCTAACTTCTTTGATCAGTAGTATGCCCCGCCGCATTGGAGCCTGCATTGCTGCCCATGGTGACTTGACAAAATACTAACTGTTCACCTGTCTTTGAATCTGGAGTTATGTTCTGCTAATATTCACATTTAATACGTGAGTAATGAGTGAAAAAAAAATTACAATCTTAAATTCTCAATAATTTCTGGTTGTACTGTATGTTGCCTTGACGTGCACAGTAGTAAAAGTAGTTGAATGCTTCTTATAGTGGCCTATATGACCTATAGAGAAGACGATGCTATTCTCAGCATATTATTGTTCGTTTAAATAAATAATTAAAAAGATAGATAGATAGATAGATAGATAGATAGATAGATAGATAAATAGATAAATAGATAAAGAAAGATAAATAAATAAATAAATAAATAAATAAATAAATAAATAAATAAATAAATAAATAGTAAATAAATAAATAAGTAATAAAAGTAAATAAATAATAAAAAATAAATAATAAATAATAAATAAATAAATAGATAAATGAATGAATGAATAAATAAGAATATAAAAAAAATATTCTGTGATAGCGTGGATGTAGTCAATGTTCATAGTTACCTTTCTACGTCAAGATATTAATCTCTCCGTATTGGCATACAAGCCGAATCCTTATGGCTGCGCGAGTGTTTGGGAAGTCAATATTTTGTAACGACCGTTTGCGACAGAACCTATTGTAACTAAAATCATTCTTGCCAATAAGATGTTTAATTATTTTTTATTCATTGAGAAAACAATCGAAGTTTTATTGAGTTGAGGGAGGAAATGGTCCTATTCCCGCTGCGGTTCGCCATCACCTAATCAACTGGTCACCAACTGCAATTTCCGGTAATGGAGGCCTTCAGCGACATAGCAACCGGTCTTACCCAATGAAAAGACGCGATACATAGGCCATTCATCACCTTTCGACATTTATCTGTCAATGAGTGACTGAAAGCTTAGCAATTTTGACATAGGAGAAAAGCTTTTCCACCTCGAGATTACGAAGTGAATACCTGATTATTTCATCTCCTCTTCCCAACACTCCCAAGACATACAGTAATGCTCCGTAGCTGTTGTGCACTCCACGTTGAAGGGAAGCGGATATGTGGATCTCCCCGACTGCCTGACAAGTACACTTGCTGAAGATGATAACGTACTATTGGGTTACACGGAGACATGGACCAGTGTTTAATATGAAACGTGGCCATTACACTGGTGATTATCTGTAACCATTCCATAAATAACCAAGAAGATGATTGTCCATGACGTTTAGAAAATGATGTAACAACTTCGTGACGTAAAGTGTGTTTGTGACGTATTTAAATGATTCCTCAATTTATTACGTTCTACCAATGTATATTTCTTTAGAAATAATAAATTAATCACAAACTGAAATAAAAGCGCGGGAGAAATGCTACGAAAACCATTCAGTTAATTATTTGATTGACATTTGAGTCCATGTAAATACAGCCTTGTCGGAAGTAAGAACGGTTCCTGGGAATGATATGGTTTTCACCGCGCACAATCAGATAGATCCTGGCACAATACAACACACATGGCTTCAACAATAATATTGTGGTAACTATGGCAACACAACTAGAATGTAACTGGATTAATAGCCTGGCCCAGATGTTGCAGCCGGACCTGGTAAACTGAGCCAACCTCGTTCCTCTCGCTGATGGCTTCCATAAATCGCAAAACATTTGACTTAATCTTGTTATTTCTTCGAGCCACTTAATTGTTTCTTTTGAAAGTTCTGCCTGATCTATAGTTCCCGTTGATGCATCATGGTCCAGCTAATGAACCACGCTGTTATACGAAGCTGCTCATCGTGAAAAACAGACCGAGGAGCATTAATAGTACGCCTGTTGCTTTGAAAGTGCGCACTGTGCGTAATGCATGGTGTGCAGACTGTTTGAGTGTGTTCATAGTGAACGTAGTGGTTGTAGTAAGCGGGGTATTCGTAGTGTTCTGAGAAAGCATAGTGTTGTTGACTACAGACGTGTTCGTAGAGTGCGGGAGTGAGACCCGTGTTTGTAGCAATAGTAGGGTTCGTAGTTAGTAGGATACTCGTAGCGAGGATAGCACTCATCGTAGGCGCCGTGTTTGTGGTGACAGGAGGGTTCGTAGTGGGCGGGGGTATTCGTAGTGAAGATAGAACTCATCGTGGGCGGGGGTATTCGTAAGATAGAACTCATCGTGGGCGGTGTATTTGTGGTGACAGGAGGGTTCTTGGTGGGCGGGGGTATTCGTAGCGAGGATAGGACTCATCGTGAGCTTTATGTTTGTGGTGACAGGAGGGTTCTTCTTGTGTCTAATACAGTGAGCTTAGGGTTCATAGCGACAGAAGGATTCGTCATGTGCAGGAACAGCGTTGTGATCAAAGCGC